TCACTCTGATGGGCCAGCGGCTGTTGTCAAAATAAAAAAAGGAAAACCCAGATAGCATGGGGAGTAGAACCACCAGGTATCCCAGAAAGGTTTACTCTGCTAGATAGAGTGAACCTTTTCAGGATTAAAGGTTTCTCTCACAGGCATCAGGGAGCCACTATCTTATAGCAGGAGACTCCAGGAACGTCCGGGATTGTTGAGATGTCTGTATTTCAAGCATTACTATTAAAAGATTCACAAAATTATTAATTTCCCTGGGATGGTAAAAGGGAAAATGCTTTACAAAAATAATTAAAACCCGAAGGAGTTCTTAATCCATCCCAGCTAAGCAGCTAAGGTCCTTTTTGTTGCAGTAGAGCTGCTACGGGCAGTTCTTTCTGTACTAATCATCAAAAGCAGGTTTTTCAGCATCAGTGTCTGTTAAAATTTTAACAATCATTAATAAATTGTTTTTTTGCAGCTGTCAGGAGCGGCTAAAATACAAAGTATTTATTACATTTACACAGACGTTGGTGAAGTAAAACTGAAAGTAAATAAAAGTTTAGTATTTCTGGAAAATATTTACATTTATTGTTGAACCTTGAATCACCCCAGACTGGTCCTAATTAAACTACTCCCTCTCCCTGCTAAGTAGCTTAGCCGTTTTTTGCCAACTTTTTTTCTAGTGCAAACTACATATGCAACAACAACCAAAACACGTTTAATTTCATTTACAAATAAATAAATAAGTCACACTTTCTACCAGAGACATAATTTTGATTTTAGGATAACTGGGACAAATCAATTAGTACTTTATATTCATAGCAACGGTAGTTGTTTTAAAATGATAAATACCGAATTTTTACTTCTCAATTTTGCACCATAAGTTCAATTATCAAATAATCATCATGCTGCTGCCGCCGGCTTGTCTCCTTCCCATAGTGCATCCTGGTGCCATTTTTCCCCCAGGCAAGCAACACACGCGCGTCTGTTGGACAATAAAATGCTGATGCTTTGACTTATCTCTGCTGCAAAAACCTTTGTAGTGCCTCTATATCTAGCTTGGATTTGTAAGTATACAAGAAGGTAGTTCATTTTCCTTATGAGGATGACAGTCTCAGAGTCCCCATATTCCATATTTATATTTCTATCCTCATAGTTTTCCTTTTAAAGAAATTGTAAGTTTCTATGTAGTAGAAAGCTGGCCATAGACCTTAGAAAATGCTAAAATGTGCAGGCACGATTTGACCTTTCTCAAGCATCTGCAGGTGCCGTTAAACAATAAATGTTTATTAGCTTTAGGTTTATGGTGAGAGGCAGGGCCATGTTTCAGATACTAGAGGCTGCCAGACATATCCAATGTTGACTCGTTGAGGGAAAATAGAATTGACAGGACAAGGTTTATTATGCAGTCTAATAGCTATACCCCTAAAAAAGTCTTGGCCAGCAGTGTCTGCAGGTAGATCAATGGTACCAGACTGTCACTTGGTGAGGACATTTGATTCCTATGGGAATCTTTATTGTATATGATCACATGTAAAATTCTTACATTGGAATGATGAATAATGCTAATACTAACATGCAATGCCAGCACTAAACTTCATTGATATGCCTCATAAATTACTACTTGCATTGTTACAAAGGGAAACAGCTTTCTGCTCCCTTTGCCTGAAATGTTGCTTCACTAGGTTTTCCTGCAGTCCATACAGTTTGTGCTTGCCTAGTTGGAGAAATTCCTTCACTTCCTGTCTGGTGAAGAGATTGTCCCCAGGACAGGAAGTGAGGTGAAATCTCTCTAACATTAACAGAGAAAGTGTTTAAAGTTAGGTGGGGGAATGCTAAAATCCCTGTCCACTTTTCATTGTTGTAGGGTTGCCACCGTTTCTTCAATCAAAATATGAACACTATAGCGCCACGTGGAATTTTTTTTTAGACAATATACAGGAGAAAGTTAGGAGAGACAACCAGGAGAGAGAGCAAGGAGAGAATTAGTTAGGAGGCCTTACACTGACCACCAATGTAACAGAGGTATTCTCAGTGACCGCCAATGTAATGGAGGCATATACACTGACCAGCAATGTAACGGAGGCATATACACTGACCAGCAATGTAACGGAGGCATATACACTGACCAGCAATGTAACGGAGGCATATACACTGACCAGCAATGTAACGGAGGCATATACACTGACCAGAAATTTAACAGAGCCATATACACTGACCAGCAATGGAACGGAGGCATATACACTGACTGTCGGGTCCTGGTCCGTGGGTCATGTCGGGTCCCGGTCCGTGGGGCATATCGGGTCCCGATCCGGGCTCCAGTGCGGGGACGCACACAGAGGGGACGTCTGCCGGCGCAGAAGCCAGAAGACCCGGCGGGGTCACGCGGCGTGACGTCACTAGGCGGATACGTCCCGGTGACGCCATCACGCCAGTGCATGCGCAATAACCCATCCCTGGGCTATATAAGGCACCTCAGATCCTTAATTCAGTGCTGAGTGATCTTCAGCCTGTGTGGATGTCTGTGCCTTGCTCCTGTCTCCTTGAAAACCCTGTGATCTGGCTTTGCTTCTGACGACTCTTTGGATTATCCCTTGTACTGCCTTGCCCGCCTGTTATCGACCCGGCTTTTTTTCCCGACGACTCTTTGGATTATCCTCTGTACTGCCAGTGCCCGTCTGTGTTTGATCCGGTCTGCCTCGTGACTTCCCAGTTGAATAAATCAACGATCAACTGCTCCACCCGGTCTCTGCTCAGCTGAATAACCCAGGATCAGCACCCGGCACCCGTGCACCCCCTGCCTGCGCACACTGTTTAAACAACCCCAGTGGTCACAGACGGGGTTGCAAGGGAGGTCCTCCTCGTCAAATCGGGCCCACACCTCGGACCTAACACTGACCAGCAATGTAATCGAGGCATATACACTGACCAGCAATGTAATGGAGGTATATACTCTGATCAGCAATTACCTTAAAATGATTGAGATTTCTGAATTAGCATAGATGCAATATTTGCTGGATTACAGTACATTTCAGTTTTTTCCCCCTGCAATACCTCTTGAAAGTAAATATAAAACAAATCCCAAATTACAATATTTTATATCCAAAAAGGGTCCTTTCCAGAGATTTTAGCTGCAAAACTGTGTAAGGAAATGTTAAGCAGCCATGGGTCTCATTAAAAGTCTATGAGTGCAAAAAGGCATGAGAGAGCTATAAAATATGTCTGTTAACCACAGAGGCTGATAGCCACACACATTTACAGATAAAGAAGATAGAAGGAGAACAGCTGAAATATCTTTCCCGCGTCGAGACACTACCAGAATGCTGGACGGTACCAGCTCTGCAATGGGGGGTAGTTGCAGAATTTACACATCAATTAACTGCTTACTCATATGTAAATATCCCAGTGGAGCCTTTTTTTAGTGTGTGTGTGTGTGTGTGTGTGTGTGTGTGTGTGTGGGGTGGGGGTCAGTAACCCCTATCTTAATTTTTGTTGCCCCTGTCTGCCTGATATCTTGTGTCCGGGTTTCAGTCTGAAACCCAGACACAGCATTCAAAATCCTGAGTGTCCCGGTGAATCCCAGACGGACGGCAACCCTACATTGTTGTCCGTTTCCTCCAGGGCAGAAAGCAAGGGGAAATCTCTACAAAGCCCCTGGGTAGCAGTTCAACTGGTCAGGAGTTCTAACCTTTTGCCATTCTATCCAAAACATACACTCAAAAGGAGAACTATGGGGTCAGGGCTTTTCCCCAAAGTCCTCCTAAGGGTAACGGGAGGACACAAACTAGCGTCCTCCCATCACCCAAAGCTCAGTATACCACAAGCTACAGCTTGCGGTATACTGAGACGCCGCAGTTGGGACGGATCCCGACATTACTGTCTGGATCCACCCAGCTGCGTGAGTGACAGCTGGCTCTGCCTATCTAGAGGCAGAGCCACCTGTACCCTCCCCCGTCCGTTCCGCCAGTCATCGCTGGAGGATCGGACAGGGGAGGGGAATCCCTGCAGGGAGCCGTGAGTGACAGTCACGGCTCTCTGCAGAGACAGGATCGAGAAGTGAGCGAGCGACGGTAGATGTTCTATTGAGCCGACCTGTGACAGTTCATTGTCACAGGTCGGCTAGAACTATGAGGCTGAGTGATTTTCACTCACCTCATAGTTCTCCTTTAAGCATAATTAATATTGTGACCTGTGTTGCCACACTTACCTATGCTCAATTAGATAATTAAGTTAATCATACTGAGTATTCACAAGCAGCCATATTCAGTGGTTCTAATTCTTAAATTCAGAAACCCACAACCCAATCAATTGGTATACCTCTTGTACCGACCTGACTGTAGCGGGGTGGAAGGCGGTGCGGTAATTGTGACTGGTTGCACTTAAATAGAGCACTGTAAGGGTTAACTGCTTGTTTTGCTCTAGGGGCTGGAATAAATAAGATATTTTAACCCACTCCTCCCCCTCCACTCCGGTTGTGGTAAGTCCCTCATGTCTAATGGACCTGTATTAGACGTGATGACGTCAGGGGTCGTCAGGGGTCCTAATCCACTGGAGCCTGGGGGAGAAGAGGCTGCAGGGACCAGTCTAGCACCAAGGGGGTCCAAGGATCGAGTATTTCTTCTTTATTTTCACCCCCATAGACAAAATGAGCACTTAACCCTTGCAGCCCCACTGCAAGGGTTATTTTTCAAAATATTTTTCAAAAATCCAGGAGTTCTGCTTTGAACTGAACTAGTACTCTCTTGCAAATGGTTTTACAAATGAGTAAATGGTTACTCAAAGCAACCCTGTTCTCCGTTGTAAACTGCTGTATAGTTTATCTTCTATATTCAGATTTTAGATTTGTCGTGCTCGCTGACACAATTCATGTGTGTACCTTTTCAGATCCTCTCATATAGAAACTGTAAGGAAATACATATCCACCCATTAAGTACAATGAAAAGACAACTAACAGTATTTGTTAGGTACAATATTACTTAATATTGTCATATATCTCAGTAAAAATAGACGTATTTTACCTTGTAAGATGTGTGCGGTAAGATCCTGCCAGGTGTCTCTCAGGTGAATGAGCTGGTTTCTATTCTTGTACATGCCAGAAAAGCAGTGCACACCCCTTTCCATTTGGAATGATCATGTACTGGACAAACAGGCGCAGCTGGTAGAAAGGTGAGAGCTGCTGTACAGTCACTTCCGTGCTTCATAAGAGATAAGAAGGTGTCATTACAAACACTGTGCTATGCTAGCATGCTTCAACGTGACCGTGATGTCAGCTTTTACGTAATGAGTACACATGCCTAAATCTGTATGTAAAAGGTTCTTAGTAAGCCTAATCTATTATATAATTTATTTTTAAGACAGTGGATGATATGCAGCATAGTACAAGACACTCTGAACATCCTATGTACATGCAAGTTGCCAGGATTTAACATTTACAAATACAGCAGAGTTGATTTATGAAAATAAACGCAACCATCTACATAAATCAATGTTCAAAAGAGCTCCATGGACTCACCGCTCCATTCTAACTTTGGCTGCAATGGGCCCATACTCTGGGTGCAGGCTGTAGTGTGCTTCTCACTTGCCCAAATCAATCACCATGAGCATCTCCCACACCACGCTGATCTAAGAGGCACTGGCGTGGTGTGGGAGATGCTCATGGTAATGTACATGCTGTTTATTATTCTTTTGGATTTGTTTTTTGGAGTCTGCTTGGATTTATTTCAATAAATATGGGAATGCACTTACCCTGGCTTCTGTGCGGCTGATCTTTTGGAGATTAATTTGGGCAACCATCTACATAGTTAGATTCCATTGGAACGACTTCTCCCTACTTCCTGTTCCAGGGACAGGTGTTACATGGGCCGCAAGAAAAGGGGAAATATGACCAATAGGGACAAAGACAGCAATGAAAACCTGGCGGATATTTTAAACAAGAACTCCAGGCAATCTAAAAATTAACCCTTACAGTGGGGCTGCCCTCGCAGTGCAAGGGTTAACTGCTCATTTTGATTTAGGGTCTAAAATAAAGAAAATATACTCACCTGATCCTCAGTCCCGTGGCAGTGACCATTCAACTCTCTCACTCCGCTCTGGCAGTGCATTAGTGCAACTGCTTTAGATATGATGGCATCACGGGTCTTTAGACCGCCAGAGCCAGGGGAGAAGAGGTTACGGGGACCGGTCTACTATAAGTAGCTGAATATAAGTATTAAGCTTGGTGGATATACTGACTTGCCATTAACTATGTTTAACCCTCTGGTTAGTGTGGAGAATAGTAGACTATAGAGTTAGTTGTGTCTAGTTTACATCATGGATAGTAACTGCTGGTTTTGAGAACTGTTATATGACTGTTGTGAGGTTTTCGCTTCAAATAGTAGAGCATAAAGGATGCATCCACTTGCTTAAATCTTTTTTTTTTTAAGGGGTTCTTTGCCCACTTTAATGAAAAGAAAGTTCTGAAGTAACAATGCAGTTGCCCTTGCAGGGGTTGTTCAGCATCTCTTGACACAAATAACCATATTCATCCAGCCAATTGGCTTTTCTCTTGCAGTACCGCTGCTCTGGCATCATACCTCAGGTCCCTGTCTGTTTCCCATCAGACAGTCTCACACCATGCCAACCTGCATGCTTGGTTAATAACTTGCAGCTCCCTGCCGCACTGGACTCTACTCCTACTCCTGGCCAGAGACCTCCTCTGTCTCCATGGTGGAGCCCTGAACACTAGCCAGCCCACACTAAACACATGGACCCAGTGATGGAGATTTCATCCCTCCAAAGTATCTTCAAAATCTCTAGGTTCCAGTATCCCGACCAGAATCCAGAAAACCTGGAAAGCCACCTCTCTCCCTGTAAAGACAATAACCACCTGAAACCACTCAGCCTTTTTGGCTGAGTCCTGGGTTACCATTAAGCCAAATGACACAGTGGCATTGCCCTGCACTGCCACAATATTGATATTTTACATTTGTTAGGTATACCAGAAGACAAAACCTGGTACTTATTTGCCAGCATTTGGGAATTAGGTTTGATCATGTGTTGGGGTTCTATTTACATTTTTCTCCAAGACGTTCCACTGGTCATCCAACCAGTTGTCTCAATTCAGAATGACTTGTACAATGTCACTGTCATTAATTATATTATTTTATTAATAGGTTATTTAAAAAAAAATTATTATACACAATACTTCAGCAATCTAAATGTCGTTCAATTAGGGTTTACATCTGAGTTGTGTATTCATGTTACAAACCCATGATATTAGAAAAAAAAAAAGCATAAAAAAAATCTATTTAGAATATCGACGTGAAATAAACCAATTAATGTCAAGAAGAATTGGAAGCTGGCATAAAGGCCAAACTTTTACCAGTCACCCTTATTACAATAGTAATTGAAAATCTGAGATTATAATAATTAGGGACACTTGGCACCTAATGTATTTTTAATTTAGTTTTTCCATTATTTGGGAATCGGTATTTGATTGTGGCTTGTGCTTGATTAAAGAATGTAAAATTTGTGTCTGACATACCAATTACAAACATAAACTACCAACAGCTCCTGGGATCCTGATGCTGCTGCAAGGCACTTGTAGAACCAATCTGCTACACCATTTAAGCGCAATTGAACTGATTTACTAAAGGCAAATAGGCTGTTTACTTTGCAAGAGAATTTCCCCTTAGCTTATAGAGTGAGGTGAAGCTCCGTTGACTTCCATCATCCAATTATGTGCAAGCAAGCAATAGTGGGGTTTTTTTTTCCCTTGCACTTGATTGAGTATTCATTGCAAAGTGAATTTTCACCACATTTACAAAGCTACGGGAAAATTATCTTGCAAATTGAACAGCCTATTTGCCTTTAGTAAATGCTTTTTGTGTCATTGGGATTATCCTGCAAGTCCTAGTGCCATATTGGATCAGGACATGGCCAAACCAACTTTCTATCTCCCCCTACGGCAGTAGTTAACTGCACTAGTGATAAACTGTTTGCTGATGACTGTGAGTTTTGATAGCGGTCTATTGAAGAGAGTGGAAAAAGAAGCCAGTTGAGGTGGGAATAAAATAACACCTCATGAGATTAAATAAACCCATATAAGAAAATAGGCTTTTTAACAGTTAAAGTAGTACTAAAGGCTGGTCGTTTACCTTAATGCATTCTCTGCATTAGGGTAAAAAACGCCCAGTACATATTTCTGTCCCTCATCCCACCCGACACTTACCTGTGAACACCGATGTTACCGCCACCAGTCCGTGTAGCTATTCTTAGTTCCTCGAACCTCCTGGTTGTGGTATAGGATACTGAGGGCAAAGGAATGCACGGGTGCCTTTACAGCAACCGGCTAGCTGATGGAGGCACGCACACAGGGGGAGGTAGGGAGAGCGATGTGGGACCAACTAGAGAAAGAGGGATTGAACATGTTTAAAGAAATAGAATGGAGGATTGTGTGGGCCTCCCAATCATAAAAACAACAAAACCCTGAATGTTGAATATCACTTTAAACGTAAATTTCACGCAAATAAACATTAGACATGTAGCGACCCTGCCTGAAAGTGAGAGGATAAATATTTGGGATCACCTTTCCAGAAGGCTCTCTCCCCTGGTGCTTCTCCCTGGGAGGTCTGTGTGACTATGTGATAACAAGCCATGAGCCTCAGCATGTGTCACGAGAGGACACCGGGGCCAGACTGACGGGGGGGGACACCAGGGCAAG